TTTTCCATTGATTGAAACGGTGCCTAGAAAAATAACAAAATTCACAAGAAAAAAAAAGAGAACGACAAAACATTTCAATAAGTCCATATAAAATCACTGACAAAAAAATAGTATTTGTGTCGAATCAAAATAAATAGTTCGAAGTTGAATGATAATTACCCAAGAATAGGAGACAAAGGCTACTTCAAACGCATTTTTGTATAACTTAGAAAGTAGTTCTGTTGCTGAAGTCCCTTGGTGCATTGCATCTGAAGCATTCCATTCTGCTTGCAAAGTTATGCTCATTGCAACCAATCCTGTTTTTCAATTTCAAATATAATAATCTCTATCAATTAAACTTCAATATACATATACTTACTATGTATTATATTCATGCATATATAGAATTATTATTAGACCGATTAATTAATTTGGTATACCTAGTGCAAATCCAGTCGCCGGATTTCCAGCTGGAACGGCCACCGTTACCGGAGACTCGAGACCTCATAACGTCGGCTTCAAACATGGCCGGACCGCCGACTCCAGCGCCTCCGCCACCACCGACGGTTTCGTCCTTGAAAGTGCCGCATTTGAAGCACGTGGAGCGGCTGGCGAAGTTGTGAGTCCCGCAGTTTCCGACGGTGCAGTACCAGTCACCTGGACGAACGTCGGAGCCGGTGGTGAATCCGAAAGTAGACGTAGCTCTGCCGCCGAAACCACCAAAGTCTAAGCCACCGACTCCTCCGCCAGCGCCGGAACGAGAGTCGCCGCATCGCTGGCAAGAATCACGGCGTTGGAAGTTGAGGTGGGTGCATGATCGACAGTTCCAATCTCCGGGTCTGCTCATCTTCGATCGGTTCTTGACCTCTTGTATGCGTACGTGCGCTTATATAATTTTCTGTAACATGCATACAAATTTGAGTATTTCTATTAGATAATTCAAATAAATTTTACCTTATATTCTAAAGACAAAATATTGATGAGTACCATGCAACTAATAAATGAAAATGAATTCTTATGTATTGAACTCTTTTTCGTTCAAAGTAAGAACCAAAAGTGTGGTTACGATATAAATATGAATGTATAAAAGTAATATAGTGGATATATGTGCTTATTCTAGTTTTGAAGTTTCAATTTCTTATTATATTCATCACGTACTAACTGCCAATTGCTAGTGGCTAGTGGCTAGTGGCTATATAATTCTGAAATCAACAGTAAGCTAATGTTTTATAAAAAAAAATCATAATGAAATCATTTAGTTACGAAATAATAAAAATTAAAAGACTGACCTTGATGAACTTGAAGAGATGTGATTTATGTTTTTAGTGAAAGAAAACAAGACACGAGGCTTTGAAAGAGTGATGTGAAGATGATGTGCTTAAATAGAACACTGAAGAACAACTGGTGGCTCGTTTATTTTAATATAATTAAATAATAAATACTTTTTCGTTTTCTTCACCTCAATTGTAAACTTTCGCAAAAGAAGAGCACCAACAAAAAAAAAAAACGAAAATATTTAAAATAAATTAAGGAAAAAAACAATCGAGTGAAATATTCCGGCTGAGATATCGAAGCCCTGGACATTTTAAGACATGGATGATTATTTTGGCCATAGCTTTAAGTGCTTTTTTGTTTGTTAAATTAGCTTTGAGTGTTTGTTGTATTATGAGATATTAAGATTGATGCATGAACATGTCACTCTTATAAGACATCATATTAAGACAAATAAAACTTCACTAATAGTCACTAGCTAATAGGTGTTTATTCAAATTAATTAATTAATTATGGTATTATTTTATACAACACAATATATAGTAGTCAGGATAAGCTCAAGTTATTAATGCCACATTGATTTTTCACTCGACGTTTGTTTATTTGTCACTGCTCGTCTTTTTATCGTCTATGTCACTTCATATTTCAAATAACAGTTGTAATTTTAAATTGTAGTTTCAATTTGGATTTAACAATAATATTCAAACATAAAAAAGTACTTTGGTGAGAATCTTGGGTCAAAGCATAATGTAATTTTATGTAAATTAAGAGTGACAAGAAGCCAACAAACAACTTCGAGGAGCCCACACCCAACTAAAAGAAAGAGATCTTGTTAACCTCTAGCTCTACAAAAAAGTCCTTTGACTCGAACCTTTTTCGACCCTCTTATCTCTAATGCAATTTCTAACTATATGTTATAAAATTGTGATTATATATGCTTCAACACCAAGGAACTCATCATATAGTTACCAATGAACAATACTATTTAATCCAAGTAGCTAGTAGCTAGCTAGGCAACCTTGTTTACCTATCACAGAAAGAATTTATTAAATACACATCAATGCTAACAGAAGTAACAAGATTTTCAACAAGAAAAAATATATTAATATGTAAACTTTTTTTTTGAGAATTAATACGTAAACTTGATGGAGCAAGAATATGCAGCAAAATTTCTATTTATTTTTTCCATGTCATTAGTGTAACGAGATTGATTATTTTTTTCTTTCTATATCAGTATAAAACCTGTTAACATACTTTTTTTGAAACAAAACCTGTTAACATACTTTGGAAAAGTTCAATGGTTACAGATAGCAAATAAAATATAGAAATAGTTGCCGAAGTCACCATTTTGTGGTAAAAGCTTTGATTTTTATGTAAGACTAGGATAATGTTGCGCAACATATACGCTATATGTGTATTTTCTACAGGTATCTCCTAACATATAGACCGTGTGAGTGAATTGTAATAGGTGTTAAACTCTATCATTCGGGAAAAAAAGAAAAGAAAAAATTGCTAGATGAAATTAGATAAAGGTGTACATATAACTATAAAGATGTTATATCTTTGAATAGAGAATCGATTCGGTATCTTGTACGTGGTATAAGCTTTTGGTTGATATATAAAAAAGGTGGCTTAATCTCTCAATTACATTATGGTAAGTCACTTTCATTTATACTTTAAGGAGGCAAGTGAATCGACATCCGAGACACGAATAAAAATCTATAATACTTTTGAATTTTGAATATTCCATAGTTTTGTTCTCCCTTTCTTTTTATAAAAAAATGTAATGCAAGTTCTCCTTTGCTTAGCGGCAACGTAACAATCTTTGTAAACTTCAAAAAAAGATTGATCATAGGCGATGGATTTTGATAAGTTTTTCTACATAAAAATGTTAGGATTTGCCATTTTAAAGTCATGTTTCTAGCTCTCACCAGTGTTTTGGTGTTACATATTCTACTTCGGACATGTAACATTTTTTTAAGGAGTTGTAATATATTAATTATGTTCATTTTAATGTTAACATGATATTAAATTGTTATTAGAGATGTGAATAAAACGCAAAACACACAGATTTACATTGTATGATAATGTTGTGTTGGTTACGTCGTCCATGGATAAAAAAGAAAGTTTAATTTAGTAGT